CTCGCGTCAGCTTACGAAGATCACTTTATAAGATCATATAAGTAAGTATATCAACTATCTATGCCGAGGTTTATAGAAAGTCGGTCTTTCGAGTTGTTAAAAGATATGATATTCGACGAGTATCTTAAGCGAGCAGAACCCACTGAGTTATTCTTGCACGCGACAGGGAAAAATGGAAGATTTACTGGCGCTTGCTCGAGTCGCTCGACCATCAGCAGGACAACAGGTGATACAGGTAGTAGGAACGTTGTATTTGCTTAGTAAGAAAACAGCGGGCTATTGATGAATGCCGAGGTTAGTAGGAAGCCGGTCTTGGAAATCACGGAAAGATGTAAATGTAAATTAGAAATATGAAAATTTTTCTCGTTTTACTCCCAGCTTTAATGGTGCCGGGCACATGTCACAGTACACATGTGTTGAGCAATCCCTATAGGATGCACCATCCGTTAGACTTCATTAAGCATCGTTAGACGTTGTAGAGTGCATATCTGGCCTGAATGGCTTGAACAATGATTCGTGGTAGTCTACCGATGTATCGAGTGCTGCTATCCTCCTAGAAATGTCTGGTACTAATTTGTCGGCCTCGGAGGAGTGAAACGCTTGGTGAGCCTGTGGTGATAGTTCTTTGCCATGCGCATTGTAGAACACCTCTATCCACTGTGTTGCACGCGCACCTTTGCATAGAATACGTACAATGCAGGTGGAAAACTGGCATTATAGTGCCAAACCGGTATATCTAACCTTATAAAAAAAATTGCTAACTGGAAGGAAAATCACTAGAATATACAGATCCTTAGTCATAAGATGAACCTTTGCTCATCTGCAACGAAAAAATTTTTTACCTTTTTTATTGAAATAGCAAGATTTTGCCCAGGAGGATGCAATACCCTCCTGAATGCTCTAATACTTACTTTAGTACTTAGGTGGCTCGTCTTCACTGCTTGTGAGGGCCTCAGCATAATTCCCATCTTTTGAGAGTTTCGCTGATTTGGCTACCGTGGTTCCTTGGAGTCCCGAGGTCAGCCTGGCCAAATTCTGCCCCAGGTCGTCACCACCACAGGCAGTCGCCGCATTTGTGGATCAGGATCAGATTGGCCACCAGGCGACTAGTTTCATATTAGGACGGTTGTGAATTCTAGTATTGGCTCACTCTTAGTTGTGCTTCTTGATGGAAACGCTGGACTCTTTCTCAGCCTGGAAGACCCTCCTGCTGGGGAGGTGAATCCTCTCGCTGTACATCGCAGCCCTACACCAAGGAACACCTCCTAGCCAAGATAAAGCGGTAGACCGTTCCGAGGGTAGTCAGTATCACAGATACAATTCGAAGCACACTTTGGATTCGTTTCTTTGAATCTCGATTCCTCCGCACGGTGATGATGTGGCTCGAGCATGGTGGCGCGCCATACCGTGGTTTGCAAAACATGGACAAATGCTACTTCGATGGTGCTGATAACAGCAAACTGGTTGATTTTAATTATTTTCTAAATTATTGGATTGATGCAGAGTTGCTATAAAATTATTTATGCGGCTAACGTTTCGACGGCCTCGACTTCTTCAGAGCTGCAACAGCACATGTCTATGATGCACAGCTGATCGTTGTCGCGATGTGGTGGCTCATTGTCGCGTTCTAGGTCGAATCCAGTGGAAGGAGCACCTCTCGAATGGGAAGCCTTACAAAAGTGAATAAGTTTAGTTGCAAGCAAGTCAGCTCAATGTGTATATTTGGTGGACCACCCCACTCGTGGAATCCATTCTACGGTTCTTTTCGTCCATCCGCCGTCTATTTCCCACATTAATTGACGGGCCCACTTATGCTTGTGTTACCATGTGTTTCTCTGGGTATCGCTGATATGATATTGGTTTCGAAGATTAGAGCTTCGCATTCCGGCGTGATATTATGTATACGGACAATATTTCAGAAGACGTGGTTCAAGTGCCATGTGAGTAGTGTGTAAAGATCTTGACGTGGTTGAACTACCAGCTCACGTCTCTGCTTTATGAGAGAGTGATGGCTATTGAATCGAAAAGGTGAGCACGGACTTTCGAGTCCTCTGGTGGATTTTTCGATGGCTTCTGTGAATGGCCCTAATGCGACCTAAGCTGCTCTCTTTTTTCATTCTAACTCCTCACTCGTAGTGTTCTCCATATTCACTGAACTGCCAAGTTTTACACACGAGGTGGTCTTCATAGTCATAAAACCAGCCAGTTTGTTCTGCTTGTCTTCGTACCATGGGTCCTTCATGAACTGTCTTCTGATCTATGCGTGGCCCGATCTTTTAGCTTATTTCTTTGAGTTCATTGGTTATCGCCTCTGTTATTTTAGTACTTCTTAGAATGACGACGGTGCCCCTAACTAGTAAAAAATTTCGTAGGAATTTTTCACAAACACGTATGCCTTTCTCAGCGACCTCACTATCCGCAGTAGTGCAGCACTAAGCATCTTAGGCATTGTGGTGCAGCCTTACAGAACCCCTTTTCCCATGGGTATAGTAGGAAAAGTAAGAGCTCAATGGAAAAGGTGTATTTCTGTAAAGCACTCCCGGTAACAGTCAAATTGCTTGTCTATGTAGGACGGATTCACTGGTTGGTTGATGAGCACTGATAGAATTGCATTTGTTTTGACACTGTCAAACGTTTTTTTGTGATCAGTGGAAGTCAGGATAAGAGGCAGGAGTATTCTCGATAAACATCAATCACGATGGACACGAGTTGGATGTGGTCCATGCAGTGGAATCGCTGTCGGAAACCTGCTTGCCCAAGTAGTTATGCCTGATTCATTATCCATTATCCTTGATATACGCGGTTAGTCTTCCTGAGCAGCTTGCCAAGCACACTCAATAAGCATATCGGACTACAGTTATAAAGAGTTTCTCTGAAACCTTGGCAAGGTGACCGTATGCGAAGTCCTTCAGTGAGTGGCCTGGGTCTCTTCCATTCTGAAGTTAAGACCTCATATGGGCTGCTGCAAGCGCATGTAATTTGTAGCCTCCTGGTCGATGGAAGGCGGAGGTGATATTATCGGATCTTGAAGCTGTATTTCTTTTCCTGATTTCTTTCGCAATTCGAACTTTAGAAGGCGGAATCTCGGGCGTTTTCTCTAGTAGGCATTTTGGTGCCCGTGACAGGAATTGTAGAACGGAAAAACTTGGTATGGAATTTTTCTTTCATAAATTCCATATGATGGCGAAAAGTTTTGGTAATCACTGGAAGTTTTTGGCAAAACTCCAGCACGTTTTGTGAATAAAGTAGAATGATAAAAAATGGCCACATAGAGGCGCATATTTTTTCCCACGTAGTATTTAGATAAATACGTCACCATATATTGTGGAGATTCCTCTATTTCTTTCACTCTTTACATTGACTCATATCTACCATCTACGGACGTGCCCGGAGTCTGCATCTCATGTAAAATCTTCGATGAAAGCTGATCGAGTCAATTCTACCTGGAATTTTCTAGTAACCATGCTAGAACTATTCTAGGTCTTCACCAAAGGTACCGTCTAGCCGTTGTTGGTCTGAGAGAATTTTCCCAGAGAAATCTGGCACTAGTTTGTCGACCGCAATGGAATGGTCGACTTGGTAGTCATAAGGCAAATTAAAATCGGCTGCCAGTTTGATTTGAAAGCTCTGGAGGCATGTTTTTTGCCTTTGAGCGGATTCGAACCAGTGGATATAATGCTCGTATTGCACAACGTCCTTAACAATTACAACTGCCTCATCCGATCGAGAAAATGCTCATACACATATTAGTTTAATTTCGTTACTCGATTATCTTTTTTCCTTCTTCACTACTTTCTTATCTTTATAATTAGCGCCAAATCATTTATGTGTGCCAACAATGGTGTGTTACCTACTCGTACTTGATCAAATTAGAAAAAGAACAATTTGTAAGGATTTCTTATATTTTCCTGGATGAAATTTTGTTCTCATTCTGCGTTTTTTATGCCAAAATGATAACTGGATGGTAACAAAGTTTTTGAACAAAGAAAGGAAGCAAATTAAAAAAAGAATAAAAGTTTAACTAAAAATAGTAACAGAAGAAGAAAGGTCTGAGCAATGAAATCCCTGGAGTACAGCAACATCATAGTTGTTTTTTCTCTAAAGAAACTTCTATATCTATTTAGATGCTACTCATGTGCCTCTTCCGAATACAAAGCGATTTTTGAAAGAACTTATTCGCTTGCACAAAACACTGGGTGAGTTCGTTTATACTTCACCTAGATCAAAATCAGTCACTCCAATGATGCTGAGATATTTGCAAAACTCCGGATCGCAGATGTCTACAGTGGAGGACGAAAGCGCTATTACCTTTTCCGAGGGCAAACGCGTTCACCACCACACTATGTGGATCCTTCGTTTCGCCTGTCTCTCAGCTAGTTTTTTATAAAAAGGATATGTCCTTTATATATATATAGGATATACAGGATATAGAAAGGACCCGCATGGTATGAACGCGTTAGCCACCAGAGTGGGTAATACCACGTTCGCTCTTCACCGCAGCCACCTGCGTTCCGGTGTTTTGCAAATATCTCAGCATCATTGTGGTCGTATTTCGCATCATACCCTGCCGAGAAAAATTGTAGTAGGCAGCAAATAATAAGTTAACATTGATCGTGTCTTATAAACTGATCTTCTTAAGCTGACGCGAGGTTGGTACAGATCTTCGTTGTCGTTGTTTTCTCGTAAGCTCGTAAACTGAGTCCCGCACGTAACATCACGGCTCTGAGGAAGGCGAAGTCGCCAAAACGTCAGCCATCGTTCAATAACATCAAAAACAACGACAACGAAGATCTGTACCAACCTCGCGTCAGCTTAAGAAGATCAGTTTATAAGATCACATAAATAAATATATCAACTATCTATGCCGAGGTTCATAGAAAGTCGGTCTTTCGAATTATTGATCGTGTCATTAAAAAGGCGTGCTAAATTGAATACAATATCTGGAAGGAAACAAATAAAGACCTGAACGACGATTCCAAGATGAAAATTTCAACTTGAGCATGACGAAGTTTGATCGATTTTGTGACATGGAGGAATCAATACAAGCAATCGCTCCAGTCGTTTCATGTGAATCGTCATGTGTCACAATCTTTGAGCCGCAGTATTTTGGAGGTGAGACGATAAGACATTCTATTAAATTTTTTAAAGAAACTTTCGGATAGCAACTATGCTCGCTTCCCATTAGTTGTTTTCTTTATGGACGGAGCTTCACATGTCAGTGACCAATAAGAGACAATGAAGCAGTTTTAAAGTGCTGAACACATTTGTTGATGGCATGTTCGAGAAGAATAACGAATTTTAGGCTTACGTTCTCCTCAGCGACCGTATCTTTTCTTGCGCGGTTGTGCATCACGTCTTCTTTCGGTAATGGAATCACCTCCACGGGAAGTTGACTTCCTTCACCGAGCTCCTATTTGTGTCAGCTTACCGTTGTCACAGATATATCCAGATGTTTACACTAACGAGGTGGTCGAGGTTGGTGATGAACTGAATTGTTACAATTCTTTCCACTTCTGTTCAGCAAACACGAGGTGCTATTCCACTGAATTGTTACAATAAAAATTTCGAAAAAAGATGGTTTCTTATCCTCTTTCTTAAATAATTGGTGTTAGTACAACTACAGTGAAGCGGATAGCACCGTGGTAGTGATGTCAGTTATCATGAGCATGGCGCTAGTTTGATTCCGCACCAGGTCAGCTAAGCCTTTCATCCCTCCGGGATCGAGAAATTGGTACCGGACTTCTCTGGGAAAAATCACTTTCTGCAATGCAATTGCACGCTCCAGCCGAGCTATCTCACGACTCCAGGAAGAATAGCTCGACCAGCATTCTACGACATTCAAGATAAAATGAAAATCCTGAAGCAGCAGCCGAAGCCACACTTAAAGACTTGGAAGACCGTGGACGTTGGCTGCAAGGAAACGAATCGAAGGTGAGAAGTGCCTGGGATTCGCACAGTAGACGTGAAGACGGATCGAATAACAAGAAAAGTACAACTACGGATACCGGAATACTACGGATACTACGGATACTACGGACATTTGTTCCGGTCTTCTAAAGCCTTGTTTGCCTTGAAGACCTGAACACGTCTTCTAATGATAATCCTACTCCTAATGTAGAAACAGCAAGGTTTCATCGTATAGACGTCTGGTACGTTACGATTTTCTTTCCGTAAGAATATCAGGAATTCTTACAGCTTTTCCATACCTACCCGATTGAAAAAATCATAATTTGTCAGATAACGACTAATAACATCGAAAAAACGTCCCACCTACAGAGTAAAATGTTTCGAACAAAGCTGCTATAGTAATGGCGTTAAAGGGAAATGGAGAAGTAGCCTTTTGTTGTATTTTTTATAAAATCAAATATACGATGTCTGTGAAATCAAAGTTTGGCACAATGCTTTGTAGAAAAAAGATAGTTGACGTTCAAGCCCAAGACATGTTTATTCTAGTAGAAGTTTTCCTTTTCTGCATGTCGCGCAAAAATTTTTGAGGGAAACTCCTCGGTTTTCACTCATGTGCTCTTCTCGAACTCATCACTCAATCGACTTTTCAGCATGACCTTAGGTGGCACTGACAAAACTCATAACGATGAGTGGGAAGTTAAAGTTTGTGGGAAGAGCAGAAGGAATTTATCAAATACAATGTAAATGATATTAAGAGAATAAGTTATAAGAACTGTGAAGTTGACAATTTCTGATAAAGGGTGGATAAGTTCAGGTACATAACATTTTTTATCACAGCTTATCATTAATTGAGTGGGTAGATTACTATTACAGCGCTAACTTTTTTTTTACTGCCCATTATTATTTTTCACGACAAAGCATGGTGTAAAATAGGGCCACAATGAGGCTGAGATATTTGTAAAACTTTGACCACAGGCCAGATCGAACCCGCAATTACCCTTTCCGAAGGCTCATGTGTTACTTACTGCACCATTGACGATTTGATTCCGCTTACTCTCTACCAGTTTTCTACATAACGGTGCCATCAGCCATTACTACTGGTTTTCGAAGATGTTTTATCATATTCATTTTAACAGTTCTTTCCCAATCACTTAAAAAGTAGCGTTTTGTTCATCAGTAATTCTCATCTAGATGTGTAGCCATACATTTATTTTCAATATGAACTATCTATTTCAAACGCCAATCTCATGCCAACTATCTGTTATTGAATATGCGGAAGCCTCTACCAGTGGGACTGAGATCGGCTTTCAGGTAGCGGTATCGAACTATTTACCAGCTTGGTCGAATTTGCTAGAAATGTCGGTGAAGCACCCACAATACACATCGCCATGACGAGGCAAAAAACTATTCGAGACACTTCCTTTACTTGAATGCAAAATTTTCCACCCATTCATGAGGAATACTTTAATAGCTTTGAAGAAGATTTGTGATCCCACTTGCTACCGCAACGGAAGTATACAGTAATACCAAATATCACTTTCTTTCCATCTATAAGGCTAAATAAAGTAACTGTCACGACCGACTTTCTATTAACCTCGGCATTGTTCAAGTGATTTTGTTCGTATTTTTTTTGAGCAAACGCGAGGTGTTATTGTTCTTTGTTCACGATTAAGCTGACGTTTCGGCGGATTTCGCCTTCTTCAGAGCCTGGAAAGGTCAAGTTGATAGCAATCCACTCGGCCAGACGCCTCCATAACCAAACAAAGAAACTCCAAACCAAAATTTCAATCACTTTGAACACAGCTTTGCACACTCACCGCTTTCTATGAGGTTTCCACTAAGTATGTCACGTAGAGACCAACCGCACAGAAATCACGTGGAAGTATAATGTGCCCCTCACATCAGAAAAGCAGTTTTATATACATCTAAAACATCAAGTCATTCCGAACTTCATCAAACGAAGACGACTACACGACGTATGCGGTCTACCAGAGGACAGTCACCAAGTATTGGACGTCGAATTGCGAATACTATGCACTTGTCTACGAAGCCGACAAAACCAGATGTTCGCCAAGTGGAAGAAGTGCGAGACGAAGGAAAACTTTTGTGCTCAATATTTGGAGGACCGCCTCTGGAAGAGAATAGTGGGCGGGTCAGTGTTGATTTGCAACTCTATTAGGTCTAATGCTAAAGTAGCTTTGCGAAGAAAGTTCGAAGACCTTTTGAGTAAATCACATAACACAGCTTCAATAGCGCACAAAAATATCGCTAGAGAACATCAAACAGATCACATTAGGTTAGGTAATGTGCAAGAAAATTCAAGGCTAACCATGTTAGGCTAATAACTCTCCCTGAGGGTGCGCGCTCGTTATTAGAATTGAGGCCGAGTTTCTCACCATCTGAACCCATTTCTAAGATAAC